AAAAAAAAAAAAAAAAAAAAAAAAAAAAAAAAAAAAAATCAATCACAGTTTAACTTTTCCTTACTCGAAAGCGCAGGCGCGCAACAGGCACAGCCGGGGGCAGGGCTCCACAGACTGCAGAGCTGCTCCTCGGTGGCGACACGTGCCCAAGGGCTCTGGGGTGCCACTGAGGGTGCTTCCAGCTGCCAGGTACCCCCGGATCAGCCTCCTGCCTGTTCCCCTGCCCGTACACTGCCCCAGGACATCCACATGCCCCGCAGGGGAATCTGCCCTGCCCAGGCAGCTCAAAGGCAAGACCTGTGTGTAGAAGAGGGAGCCACGGAGGCGGCCGGACGAGGCAGCGCGCGGGGAGCGCCCCAGAGCACAGGCTGCTCCGCAGCCCCGTTTCTGCTGGGGTTTGGCCCATCTGAGCGGCTTGGTTCCCTCACGCAGAGGCAGGGCTGGGCTCTGCCACCTCCCAGCTCTGCTCCAGCCCAAGCATCTTACGGGCAAGGAGCACTGGAAGGGGAGTGAAGAGCCACTGCCAACCAACCCCTGGAGGCACTGGCCTTGGGGACAGTGTGTGACCTGCCCACATTGGTGGGCTCTCACCCCCCCACCCCTGCCCGGGCAGGGGGGAACAAAACCTTCCCCCCACCAAGCTGAGCCCACCCGCTGGCACAGGAACTCTGTGCCCAAAAATACCCCTGGCCTCATGTCGAGGCGGGAAGGCTCCCCCACCTGGTTTGGGGGGTTCGGGGGCTTTTTAAGACTTATTGAAAGCTGCCAGGACAGCCCAGATCATCTCTGCGCCCCTGGCTTTGGCAGCTTCCACCTCAGGGTCCATATCGAGGAGGTCCTTGGTCCTGTTCATTGCCACATCGTACTTGTCGTCTGCCAGGCTGGCGAAAACGTTCTCCAGCACATCTGAGGAGTGGGCCAGCACCAGGAGAGCCAGAGTCCTGCGGTCCATGCGGTGGGGGTCGTTGATCCACCGCTCCAGCATGCTCTCCTGGAGCTTCTTCACCAAGCGCTGCTTCTCGGTGGCATTGCTGACAGGGTGGGTGGTCATGTCAAAGAGCAGGAAGTTCTGCTTCTCCGTGGTGAGGATGCCCTTCTCCACCAGCGCCTTGGCGATGCGCTCACGCACGTTCCTCAGCTGGTACTGCAGCTTGAAGGGGTTCCAGGTCTCCCCTGCAGGAGAGGAGACGCTGTTCAGCTTTGTCACCCAACCCCACACCTGGGCTGCTTCCCGCTCAGGACCAGCTGCGCTTGCACAGACACCAGTCCCGGCCACAGGAACCCTCTTCTTCCCCTTGGCCTGACCCTGACCCGCTTCTCCCATCAATTCAACATGGGAAAGCTCCCAGCTGTCACAGGGTGCAGCAGCCTGGGGCAGATCCCTTTGGAAAGCCCCTTCTACCCAGCACCTTGGACCCCAGATTCTGAAGACTCAGCATGAAAAAAAGGAGCAATGGGGAGCAAGGTCCAAGTTTTCGACCGAGCTCCCAACAAAAAAGAGCCAGGAAAGAGTTCTCCGTCCCCACATTCAGCCTTCCCCTGTTCCGCTGTCAGCGTTCTGCCCATCTCCAGTGAAGGAAGGGGATAACCAAGCTGTGGGGAGGGGACAGGCCACAAGGGAGCTGGGGGCGATGGTGTCTCTAACAGGCCCTACCAGTGAGCAGCTCTATCCAAGTCTGCACCGTTTCTGCCGACTCCGTGGCCTTAATGTGCCGGAGGGTCTCATCCAGCAAGACGTCACCGGTCGGCGTGTCCGACTTCAAGAGCACCTGGAAGGACAAAGCAGAACCACAGCGTAAGGCCAGACGCAGACACTGCTCTGGCAAAGCTCGCTGCCAGCAGGCTCAGCTGGGGCACAGGGAGCCCCGAAGCCTATTGGGCCCCCAGCCCAGCTCCTGTGGCACCTTCACCTTCCTCTCCAGCAGCCTCTTCTTCCTGATGGAGAGCGGCTCCAGGCGGATGCGGCCGCGCAGAGCCAGCTCGATGAGGATGCCACCCCGCAGGCCTGAGGAGATGCAGTCGTTCCAGAAGGAGGTGTAGCCCTGGGAGAGAGAGGGTGGATGGAAAAGGGAGAAGAGAATTGGAAAGCAGAGCTCTGCTCAGCCCCCCCCACCCCTCCCAACCTGCTCAGGCTCTGCCAGGCGACTCTCCCAACCCCCAGCGACAGCTCTGCCTCCCTGCTCTGTCTCCCAGGTGAGAAGAAGAAAAAGGCTTTTCCCCACCAGGTGAAAGGTGCCCAGCAACCCCAACTAACCCCCTCCCTGTCCAAAACCTCCCTGTAAACATTGAGCAATTCAGGCTGGGCCATTCCTGCTGCACCCACAACCACCCGGCACACCCCAGCGCTGGCCAGGCAGCTGCACCCAAGCCCGGATCGTCAGAGATCCAAGACAGAATGAGAGCAGCAGCGCCCTTTCCCCCGGCAAGCCCCCGGCCACAGGATATTGCTGCTGCTGTGGGGCTGCAACCAGCAACGGGAGCTCTGCTCTGCGCCTGCTGGGGACATGCCTGGGGGAAACAGGAGACGAAATCTGCTCTTCTCCTTGAAGAAAGCCCCCACCAGCTCCAGGTGTGCCCTAAGTAATTAGCTGTATGAAGAAATTGCTCATCAGGCCCATGAAGAAGAGTTTCCCTGCTACCCACAGCATCATCCCACAGGGTACAGGCTGCAGCAAGGCCAAGTTCCCACCACAGGGCCCAAAAGCTTCCCCAGACCCTCACCCCAAACCACCTGCAGACTTCTGCAAGGGAAGAGATTTCCAGTCAGGGATGAAGGAAGGGAAAATACACCCTTGGGGCTGGGGAGCAGCAGTTTGGGGCCCAGCGGGGCAGCGCTGGGGCTGCTGCTGTCTCAGACTTGGCACATTCCACAGCCAGCCCCAAGCCCTGTTCTTCAAGCCCACCGCAGGATGGGGTCCTCATCCCGAGAAGCACAAGCTCCAAGATCATTAAGGCACATGGCAAAGCCACAAGAAGGTGAAGAGGTCTGGAAAATACAACCCACAAGGAACCAGCAATTGAATCGGGGTTTTCAGCCCAGGGAAGATAGGACAGAGGAGAACAGGATAAGGGGGTCAGACACACAAAAGGCAGCAGCAAAAAAGAAGGGGATGGCCAGCTCCCACTTCCACTGTGCATGGGACAAAGCCCTGGACTAAAAGTGGCCAGAGATCAGAGCTGGCACCAGGAAGAAATAACCATCCAGACAAGAAAGCCCCAGAGCGGTTTGCCCCTGGAGGGAGGGTGCAGGGATGGAAGCCTCTGTCCCTTGAGGCATAAGAACATTCAACTGATGCTTCTCAGGAGAGAGCTGAAGGAACAGGACAGCCTAGGTGTCCTCTCCATTCCTTTCTTCCACTCATCTTTTATCCCCCATTAGAACAAGGCCCGGTTGCTCTGGGTTGTTCCGACTGCTGCAGTGGGGCTTGGACACAGGGCAGCAGCCCCTGGATGGCAGGGTGAGCGGGCTGCAGGCAAGGGCTGCAGGCAAGGGCTGCAGGCAAGGGCTGCAGGCAAGGGCTGCAGGCAAGGGCTGCAGGCAAGGGCTGCAGGCGGTGTTTGAGATGGGCCCGAAGGAATGCTGCGGCCCATTCCTAACTTCCTTTTTGTTGTTTTTTTTTCTCTAGAGCGAGTGGAGGGGGTTGAGAGAAAGGGCAGGTCTAAAAGCTACCAGGAGAGTGCAGACAAAGCAACCCAACAAGCCCCTTTCCTAATGAAAACAGGCTGAGAACACGCAGCCATCCTACATGGAAGTTTTTCCAGTCTTTATGGGCAAACTCCCGTCCCCAGTGTGTCTGTTTATGGAGAGCATCTGGACACTGCTCAGCTTGCAAAGCACAGAGAACCATAAAAGAAATTAAAATCTTTATTTGCTTTCTTCATTTCCTTGTGAGGAAAGACAAAGCAACCTTTCATCCCTGCCCTGCTGATTTCTGTCCATGGGAGACGCGCTGCTCTTCGCACGCACCCTTTAGGAACAAGCTCTCCAGGAAAGGGTGTGGAGGTGACAAAAAGTTTCAGTTCACTGGGCCGGAAGGGACGTTACCCCCAAAAAATTTTAAGGGGTCTGAAATAAAACAAGGTGAAAGCTCCTGGGTTCACATTCAGCCTCCGGAATCAGATTGGTTACAAACACCAGGCTGGTGTCCAGCCAGTTTCTCCTAGACAGGTACTTAAAATAATAAAATTACACTGTGAGCTCATTGGATTTGGCTAAAATTATCTTGTTTTCTTCCAATCATCAAACCATGAGTGAACAACAGAGCTGGGAAAACCCAATGCCTGGGAGCCCAGCTCAGGGCCAGGCTTCTGCTGCTTCAGGTTTTCCTTTTTGGAATGTGGAAGGACAGGATGGGAAGAAACCAAACCAGTATGGCAAGGTTTGGGTTGGGTTTTTTCCTGCATCTATTGTGGTCTCCTAACTTCCTGGTGGCTGAAGAACCGTGCCCAGGAATACATTAACCAAGCCAAGAATGCTAAAGCCCAGGAAGAAAGAGCATGCCACGCTCTTAGGCTGCTCTCAAATATTTGCTCCAAGATTATTTGCATGGTGTTCTCTCTATAACTGTGCTCTCCTGTTACTTCCTATTCAGCTCAGCAAGTCCTAGATCTTATCTGGGTTCATTAAACAGCACAGTTACGAGCCTCTGTCACTCACAGAACCCGGATCTGTGAGCATGGGCCACGTCAGAAGCCATGACCTGAGCAGGTCTGTGCGAGAGCACGGCATCAGCTCAGACTCAGCAGGAGCAGGGCCCTATGGCAAAGGGTGTTCAGACACCTCACAAAGGCTTAATTTCAATTCAGAGAAACAGATGAAGAGAAGACGGCTCATCTAACACAGCTCTGACAACCAGAGTGTCTCCCTTCCCTAGCATGGAAGGCAGGCTCACAGGAAGAGCTCTCCTGGAGCTGAAAAACCTGTGTATAAGGCTCTCGTCTGCCATTATCATCCCAAGAAGCACCTTGGGCAACTTCTTAACTTCCCCAGGTCTCAATTTCCCCATCTGCTTGACAGGAATAGCAGCATCAGATTCCCCCAAAGAGATCAAGATGATGCACACACTAACGAAAACGAGGCACATCAACGCAGCAGGCAAGAGCCAAGCAGGTCGCAGAACTCAACACAAGGTGTCTTCCCCTTTCCCCACGGCTCCTTCTAGGCAGAATTGAGAAACAAGTTCCTACCAGCTGATATGCACAGAACAACTCAGTTTGAGCAAGGTCCCTTTCCAGCAGAGGACAACCCTGCGAAAATAACCGGCTGGGAAATTCATCCACTGTTGCCAAGGAAAGTCACTAAAGTGGCACAGAGCTCCTGTCCCGCCCCACTCCCCTCAAACCCGGAGCTGCAGGAGACTGCTCCTGCCCAGCTGAGGGCATCCCTGGCCTGAGAACAGCCACGTGGCTCCCACCTCCTCTGGCATCGCTGGGTCCGTGCCATCCCGCACCTGCTTTCAACTCTCGTTCCAGCTGCCTCCCCTGGCCTTGCCCTCTTCTCTCAAAACCTGCCCCTGCCGTTTTTCACATCAATTTTTAATAAAGCAGAAACAGTGCCCAGGGCATCCCTGTGTTTCAGCTGCTGATTTCGGATAGGAAAGCACACTTGGGCCAGGGAAGAGGACATTTACCCTCTGACACACACGGTGAGGCTCCTTTTACCCCACATCTTTGACTCCAGCAAAGAACAAATGCAGCTGCACAACACCGCAGGGAACCCCTTGCCTCCAGCTGCTTCTCGCAGTCCCCGCAGCAGAGCTGGCAGGACAGCACCTGCAAGCGACCTCCCCAGCTCAGTTTAAGCTACAGACGAGGGTGGTTTGTGCTGGCTCTGCTGGACAGGACTCTGGAGGAACTCGGACAGTCCCTCTGCTGCTCACCTAGAGCCTCACCCCCAGGTACGGCTGCGTACGCAGGCAGCGGAGTGGCCTCACCTCCTTGTCCTTCAGCCCCAGGAGCAGCACCTCCTCCATGAGCGTGAGGCGGATGTCTTTGGAGTCGTCGGGATCTTCATCGTTCAGGTCTCTGTCCGCAGCCGCGTCTTCCTCACCATCGGGCTTCTTGTCCGAGTTCCTTCCCGCCTCGGCACGTCGTCCGCGGTGCGTCAGCGTCGTCATCTCCCCCTCGGCCTGGGCACGCACAGAGCTGAGGTCGGGCCTGGTTCTGCACGCGATGGGCTAAGGCACGCTAACCCCCCAAAACCCCAAACTCCAGGGAGGTGCAGGCAGGGCCAAGGGGCGCTTGGACCCGGGAACTCTCAGTCACCCTCCCGGGATGGGCTGTACCATCACCTAACGACGCGCCTGAGGAGACGCTGCACGCCCAGGGGGACAAGGGGAGGTGTAGGCCCCTCTCGCCCAGGGACCCCCCCGGCCCCGCACCACCCGCCCAGGGTGTAAAGGGCACGTCACTCCCCTGTCACACACATCACCACGGGACTCTGCACGCCCTGCAGCGGCATGGGAGGGGCTGCACACCAAAGAACAGCTTGTGCTGGTGCTACAGACAGGGCTTTGCTGGGCACAGGGAGCTCTGAAGAGCCCAGTTCTGCTCCATCGTGCTGTCAGGCCCCAGTGAGCCCAGACAAAAAAGCTCTTCCCCGCTCCAGCGCCAAGCTGTTAAACAACCCCCCTCCCTGTGGCTGCTTTAGGAGCTCAGACCTAAACCAAGAGTCCCAGTGATCAGGTCAACAGCAGGAGCGAGCGCACAGGCGCTGCTGAGGCAGAGGGGACAGCTCTCGATACAGGCTGAAAGGGAAGTGGCAGAACAGAGCCGGCCTGCGCAGCGTGACACGGAGACACCGTGTGTCAGAGCCGGGGAAGGCACCGGCTGCCAGCAGCTCAGCAGAGATTTGCGTTTTCTGCAGCAGCCTCCGCAAGGAGCAAAGCCAGCAGGGACAACCCAGGCGGGCTACAGATGGCTCTGGGAGAGGGATTAAACTACATTTCCAGGGAGCACACTCAGAAAGTTGGCTCTTCACACTGATGCCGGCCATGGGGATGCGGGCAGCTGACTCACTGGTGTTCTCAGTGCCCTTTGCACCAGCCCAGAAACCAGGCAAAGTACAGACCAGAGAGGAGAACCCAGGCCCACAGCACCTCGATGGCCTGGTGAACACAGGGAGCACAGCAGCAGGCAGGACAGGGATTTATACACTTGCTTTGCTTCTAGATGCCAGGTGTCAGGCCAGGGTGGGATCCACCTCAGAGCAAAACTACCCAAGAAGCAGCAGCTTTTGGGTTCTGAGCAGGCACAAGCCCTTCTTGCTTGGCCACAGCAGCCCTCACTGCTTTGGGCCCATGTCCAGTGCAGGCACTGGAAGGAGCCTGGCCCATTGGTTCAACAGACTTTTTGGCCTGGGGGATGTTGATGTGATTCATCTGGGCTGGTTGGAGCTTGGCTGCCTGTGCCGTTGAGGGAGGAGAGGACATCGATCAGCCATGGCTGAAAGATAAATACCCCTTTCTGCAGTCTCTTCATGAGGAAGTCAGAACCTCCAGGCTTCTGGCCTAGGTTGGGATATTTGGCCTTCAGTTTTGCCTCTTCTGCTCTCTCAGGGGTGATGGTTTCCTTCTCCTGCGTGTCCTGAAAAACAAAGAGGGGAGTGGAAAGCTCTTCAGCCCCACAGAATGCACACCTGATGCCATAACACAATATTCAGCAGTGTGTCCAAACCCTGGTGCCTGGCTTGCTGAGCCCCTGGAAAATCCAGACGTGCTTGGAGAATATTATAAACACTTCCCCAGACAGAAATAGCTTTTACCTCCAGTACTTGTGGAAATAGGCAGAGACCTTCTACCTGCCTCTCCCAGACAGCAGCCCCTGCAGCGGGGCTCGCACTGATGTTTGGCTTTGCATACTGGGCTTAAAATGTCACTGCAGATGTCTGCTGGACCAGCACTTCCCCTGAGCAGTGACGGGTCAGAGCAGCATCGACACACATAGCCCAGAGCACAAGGGGCTGCAGCAGCAGCATGCTGCGGTGCTGGAGGGGTTGGCCTTGCTGCACCCCATTGCAGGACAGCTGAGATGGAAGAAACCCTCTGCTTCCAAACCAACTTATCAGGAATGACAACTGGCACAGGCAGCAAAGCAGCATTTTAGCACCTGTTTCACAGCAACAGGAGTTTTGGGGCGTTCTGGGAAGCCACCCAGCCCCCTCAAAGCCTGGGACCTTAGGGCTGACTGTGGCAGGAGGTGCCAGGCCCTGGCTGCTCTGCAGGAGCTCTGAGGCAGCTCCCAACCTAGCTACTGAAGCAGCATCAGCTGAGCAACACCTGAAGGGACCTGCTTGGGATGGGGTCCCCAGCCACCAGCCCCTCTCCTCAGGGAGCGCTGCAGGCCTGGGCCAGGAGCTTCCATCGGGGGTGGGAAGGTGCCAGGGTCCCAGCAGGGCCTGGAGAGCCTCAGCAGGGCCGAGTTCTGGCCAGGCACCAGCCCAGCCCCAACAGGAACACGTCACCACCAGCCACCTCTGCCAGCAGCCACCTGGGGCCAAGCCACCGCACGAGTCGCTGTCTCACAGGATGTTGGCAAGGG